CCCCAAAACCCCAAAACCCCAAAACCCCATATCCTTCTCCTAATTGAAAGCAATTGAAGATTTCCTAGTGCACAAAGATGTCACTCTCTCTTTACCCCCAATACTCCCTGCTAAAATCCCTCTCACAAATTTCCTTCCACCGTGCCTTGTCAGTCAAGTGCATAATCTCTGGTGAAACTTATTCAGAACTTAGATGTCCTTAAGGCTCTGGCTGTCTTCCAGGAATGGGTCTGGCTAAAGATATTGCAAAGGACTTACCAGGATAAGCCCTGCTTATTTCAGAGAGAGGGATCAGGTTCAGGTCAGTTGTGTCTGTCGTGACTTGGAAGTTCGATACGCGAGTCCGCTTGATTGGGAGAAGCGAGCATTCGATGGTGGGGACTGGACGGTTTAACCTGGGGGAAGCTAGGTTGAAGTTGAAGGGATTGGATTGAGGGTTAATCGGTAAAAAGAATTTTGAAGTGGAATGGTGAAGGGAATGGGCTTTTAGAGTTTTACATAATTTGCTAAATGATTCTGAAGCTCCTTAATTATCTTTCTTTTTAGTATATTACGTGAACCTTATCATTTCGTTTCCTTCAGATGCAAATAGTAAGGCAAATACAAATACAAATACAAACGAGTCCTCCAACAACACCTAAGACAATCCATAAGGCAGTCAAATCCGTCTTTGAGTCTTTTTTGATTTCTTCATCCTCAACAGAGACAGGAGCAATTGCACCAATAGCAGTCATATTATATCTAATAGTGGAAGAGTATGGGTCGATCACTACATAAACGTCAACAGAGGAACTGAAGGAGACTGTAGTTGTAGAGCCTCCACTCAGTGTACCTATCCAGGTATAGTTTGCTTCTTCTCTTGGTGTTTTATAAACTGTTGCAGTCGCCCCAGATATGCTGTCTATAGTAAAATTTTTGATGAAAAGTTTGCTCAAATAAACAAAGATCTATTTATTCCCTATCTCAACCCTCCACTATGCGACCACCCTTTAAAACATCTTCTACCATCACCCTAACTCAGTCTTCCTACCCAAACCCTTTCCCAAACTTCATTCGAAATAGCCAATAAACAAACTAGAACAAAACTTCCATCCCCAAATTCCTTCCCACAATCCTTTAGATCCTTTCAAACCCCTTCAATCTAACCTCTAAGTGCCTAATCTTGCCGAACAAACCCTAGAGAAATTAGCTAGTCTCCAGCATTCAGAGCAAGAGCAGGATTTTTATGCACAGAATCTGGAAACTTCAGGATAAATTAGTCAGGATTGGAACAGGAAGAAGATGAGCGGAGGAAGGGCATTAGGCAACAGGAGTCTGTGGAGGGGGAATTTAGAGGTAGCAGGAACTTTTGGATAGGTTAGAGGGAAGGTGAGCAGTTTGTAATTTACGAAGCAAAGAGCCGAACACAAAAGAAAGGATTAAAAACACTAGGAATAGATCAAGCTAAACTGCTATTATAATGAAACCTGAGAAGAATTGACTTAGCGCTTACTCATTGTGATCTTAACCTGGTCGATAGAGCTTGTAGTCGTATAAAACCTTTCAGCTCATACTGCATCAGAAGGCAGATAACTTACCACTATTGACCAATACCGATAAGTATTCTGAAGTAAGGAGTGGGTGTCTCCACACTTTGCATTAACCTCTGGACAAAGTATCAGCCCTGCAGTACCCTGGAAGTTGGTGGACCCAGAACAAGCATAGCTATCACTGCTTGCACAATAGCTTGAGGTATCGCCCGAGTTTCAGCACTCTCCATCAGCTTGAGTAATTCCAACAGGAGCTCACCACCTCTGAGAGCCATTATTGACACAAGTCTTTCAATCTGACTGGCTTGATGAAACAGCAAGGCTTCTCTCCATGCCAATAATCTGGCCTAAGCAACATCCAATAAAGAGAAGTAATCCTTTGTATCTTAACGAGAAGGTTAGCTTAAGCATTCTTAAAATAATTGATTTAAAGAATTCAACGTATCTTTCCTTATACGGGGTTTTGGGGTTTTGGGGTTTTGGGG